GTGGTGGCCGGGGGGACCTACGGCTACCAGATAACCGCCATGGCCAACCGCACCATCCTGGTGGACAACAACACTTGGAACAACACGCACATCTCCCGCGTCGGGCAGGTAGGTCCTTCCCTCGTCCCGCCTTTCCGGGGCGTCACGTGACCCGAGTGACCCCCTGCCCCGCTCCAGGCCATGGCATCGACGGAGGAGAAAGCCTACGAGATCATGAGGGAGCTGGACGTCAGCTACGTGCTGGTGATCTTCGGAGGCCTCACCGGCTATTCGTCCGATGGTAAGGTCTTGCTCTGAGCCAGGGCAAACCCGGCCCAAACTTCTCCAAAACAGCTCTTGGAGGAGTGAAGTCCCACCTTCAGCTGAGACCACGGAGTGGAAACGGTTGCAAAACGTTTCTCTCTGGAAGCTGCACTCCTCCAGCTCAACTCCTCGCTCTTCGCCCCAAAACTCAACTCTTCCACCTCAACTCACATTTTTTTGCTGCCAGCTCAGCTCAACGTCTCGCTTTTGCACCTCAACTCAACCCAAGCCCTTGCTTTTGCACCTTAACTCCTCACTCCCCACCTCAGCGCCTTCCTCTTGGCTCCAAAACTCAACTCCACTTATTGCTCTTGCCCCTAACTCAACTCCACGCCTTGCTCTTGTCCTCAACTCCTCCCTTTTGCCCCCAACTCCTCACTCGCCACCTCAACGCCTTTCTCTTGGCTTCAAAACTCTTTGTTTTTCCACCTCAATTCAGTTCTTTGCTGCCAGCTCAACTCAACACCTCGCTTTCGCCCCCCAACTCAATCCAAGCCCTTGCTCTTGGCCCCAAAAGTCAGCTCCACTCCTTGTTCTTGTCCCAAAACTCAACCCTGCTCCTCGTTCTTGTCCCAAAACTCAACCCTGCTCCTCGTTCTTGTCCCAAAACTCAACCCTGCTCCTCGTTCTTGTCCCAAAACTCAACCCTGCTCCTCGTTCTTGTCCCAAAATTCAACCCTGCTCCTCATTCTTGACCCCAATTCACACAACCTCTTGGTCTTTGCCCTACAACTCCCCTCCTCACTGTTTGCCCCCCAACTCTTTGCTCTCCACCCTTCAGACATCAACAAGTTCCTCTGGATGGTGCGCATCGGGGGCAGCACGGACACGGGGCGTCACATCAAGGAGCACGACTACTACACCCCCACGGGGGAATTCCGCGTCGACCGCGAGGGCTCCCCGGTCCTCCTCAACTGCCTCATGTACAAGATGTGCTACTACCGCTTCGGCCAGGTCTACACCGAGGCCAGTAAGTCCCTAAAATTACCCTCTTTAGCCCAATTTTGGGGCTCCCCACCTTTTGGGGCGCGATGCGATGACGCTTCTCCCTCTCCTAGAGCGACCGCCGGGCTACGACCGGGTGAGGAACGCCGAAATCGGCAACAAGGACTTTGAGCTGGACGTGCTGGAGGAAGCTTACACCACAGAGCACTGGCTGGTCCGAATATACAAGGTACCGACCCCAAAACGAGCCCAAACCACCCCAGGTTTGGGAAAAATTGTTGAATTTCACCTACCCTGCATCTTTTTTAGGTGAAGGATTTGGATAACCGCGGCTTGTCGAGGACGTAGAGCTGTCGCCGGCCCCGCACTGCACTGACCCAGCCTTTGCCTGTGAAGCAGAAATATTTTGGGTTTTGATTTTTTTTTTCTTCATTTTTTGTTGGTTTTTTGATTTTTTGGGGGGGACACACCGGGGAAGGGTTGTTTTATTTCCATTTTATACCGTTT